TAATAATGAAATTATTTTCCACTTAAAGAAAAGTAACTTTAGAACAAATAGTATTTATTCATAGAAGACATAAATAACATTCCTCATTTTTCTTTTTAATTTAAATTCTTTACATTCCTCATTTTCAATTAGCATTTCAGAAAGACTTTAAGGATGTGGTTATAGTTATTTCCATTAGTATTTCTCTAAACAAGACCAAACAATATAGATGTCTTTTATATCAGCAGCTCAGTCAAATAATAACAATAAAGCAGGAAATGGGTTGGAAAAGAATGAGGTGGCTTGTGAATTTAATGACTGTGTGCGCCTCACTGGCTACTTGCCCTTCCCTGTGATGGCCTTTGTATGTCTACAATTGTAGAAAGAAGAGGAAAACTGACCCCTACAGAAAACTAATAGATGTCTCTTCTTCATGCAGTTTTATGACTTGCTGACATCACACCTGTGCCTACCAGGGCCAAACACAGCACACTACTTACAGAGGACCCATGCGCTACACTAACCACTGCTCCACACACATCAAACTTCCTGTTTTAATGAGTAATGCTAAAAATGGGTACAGTATACAAACACATATTGACTTCTCTAAGGATAAGACTCTCCAGAAGGGGTTTTAAATAAATAAATGCAATGAAATAAATTAATAATGAAATTATTTTCCACTTAAAGAAAAGTAACTTTAGAACAAATAGTATTTATTCATAGAAGACATAAATAACATTCCTCATTTTTCTTTTTAATTTAAATTCTTTACATTCCTCATTTTCAATTAGCATTTCAGAAAGACTTTAAGGATGTGGTTATAGTTATTTCCATTAGTATTTCTCTAAACAAGACCAAACAATATAGATGTCTTTTATATCAGCAGCTCAGTCAAATAATAATTCTTTAAAAGAGAAAAAATAAGTTTTATAGAAAAAAGTATCTTTTTTTTTTTTTTTAAGGATCCTGTTCTCAGAATTCTGGGTGGGCCCTGCTCTCAGTTTCCTAGGTGATTTTATATATCTATCTATATCTATCTATATGTATAGATAGATACACACACATATTTATTTATTATTGATTTCAGAGAGGGAGAAGGAGAGAGAGAGAGAAATATCAATGATGAGAGATAATCATTGATTGGCTGCCTCCTGCACGCACCACACTGGGGTTGAGCCTGCAACCTGGGCATGTGCCCTTGACTGGGAATCGAAACGTCACCACCTGGTTCAAAGGTCGATGCTCAACCACTGAGCCACACCAGCTGAGCAAAGGTATCAACTTTCAAATATAGAGAATATTTCATGTCTGTCAACTTTGTTGTCTAGTTTAGGTTGGTCTTCTTCCTTGTGCCACTTCTTTAATAACCATGATGCTGCAAGTGTGAGTAAAACAGTGTACTAACGCTAGGGGTACAAAGATTTCCAAGACATGGCGTTTCCTCAGAGAGTCGGCACCCAGACAGACACCCGCCCACAGCTCCATGTGCCGGCGCCGCAGGGAGAGTGCTGTGGGAGCGTCAGCCTCTGTGCAAGCTGTGGGCTCAAGAAAGCTCACTATTGGCCCCGTGACAACAGCAAATGCACTATAATTCTGGAAACATGGTTATTTTCCATAAAATTTGCAAGCCAAAGTTGTCTGTCCCATTATCTATCATAGAAAGGCCTATGTAAACTATGCTCAGAAATTGTCATCCCACCCGGCCCGTGTGGTTCAGTGGTTGAGTGTGGGCCCATGAACTAGGACAGCGGTTCTCAACCTGTGGATCGCGACCCCTTTGGCGGTCGAACGACCCTTTCACAGGGGTCGCCTAAGACCATCCTGCATATCAGATATTTACATTACAATTCATAACAGTAGCAACATTACAGTTATGAAGTAGCAACGAAACTAATTTTATGGTTGGGTCACAACATGAGGAACTGTATTTAAAGGGCCAGAAGGTTGAGAACCACTGAACTAGGAGGTCACGGTTCCACTCCCAGTCAGGCACATGCCAGGTTTTCAGGCTCAATCCCCAATAGGGGGCTGACAGGGGGCCGCCAATTGATGTTTCTACCTCCCCCTAAAGTCAGTAAGATATTTTTAAATAAATTATCATCCCAACCCAATTCTATCAGAATTTGGAGCAGGGGCTGGAGCCCAGGCCCCGGTACGTGTGAAGCCTGCCCAGGTGAGTAAAATGCACTCCTCCGGGCCCACTGATTACGTCCTCGCCTCATGACTCATTTAAGCTGGGAACCCGGCCAAATACAGAGTCCAGAGCTGCATGAGGGCACTGGCCCTAAGAGGATCCCTGATCTGAGATTATGCTCCTTGCATTTTCACCTACACCCCAGTTTTGACATGTGCTAATAATATGAGATAGCATTTCATGGGTATCTCTGGCATAACCACTTCTGGCATAACCCAAGAAAATTCAGTGACGGCCAATAGCTATTGCCCAAGATGTCTAATTTTCCCAACTTTACTCATTAAAGCCAGGGCAACGGGAGCCTCCAGAAATTGCCAGCTTTGGGTACATGAAGACCGAGGCGTGCTAGCGTCCCTGTCACCACCTACTGCACACAAGTAGGTAGAGACCAACAAAACCAGCATATAAAAAGTGGTCATCTCGGGAGACAGACTGAGTTCTACGAAATGAAGGGAAGGAAGACAGAAGAGTGAGCTGGCGGGGTGGGGGCGGAGCCTCAGGAAGGAGGAAGAGGCTCGCCCTGGAAGGTGGGGAGGGCATTCTCGCAGTCAGGAGAGCGGGCACAGCCAGGAGCGGCATGCTGGCGCTGGAAGCAGCCTGGCACTCCGGGAAAGCATGAGCGTTTCCTTAGAGATCAGCGATCAGCGGGGACAAACGGGGGGCAAAGGACAGCGAGCCCTGATTAACAGGTGGGAGTCTGAACTTAATCTTACGGGAAAACGGGGTTACACTTGTGTGTAATGTAAGAAACGTTTTAGGAGAGTCTCCTGGCAGGTGAAATGCAAGACGCACTGAGCTTTAGGGGCCGCGGTGTTCTCCAAGCTCAGTCCCTGAACACAGCAGGCTTTTCCAGTGTGACGGTTGGTCAAGTGAGCACCACACACACCTTGGCATCACTCCAGACTGAATGTCAAGTTAATTTTGTAAGTCAAATGCTTTATAAAAAGGTCTGTTAGCTCTTAAACATTGAAAGTTTATAACGGGAAAACATAACATACCCAAGAGATTATACATCCATTTATGCTAGCTTTATAGAGAGGCAATATTCAAGCTTTATTATTTTCTCCTGAAAGAATTACTTACATAGTCTAAATCTAGTACAAGAAGTAGAATTAATAAATAATGAAGATAGTATTTTTATATCCTTTCTCCTTAGAATATCAATGCCAAATGGATGGTTGGGGATTTTTTTCTTAAATCATTTTTTGACAAAAAGAGAGCTGCTGGAGGTTTGGAAGGATGGTTACCCTTAGGGTCCCTGACCTGGGCGTAAAGTACAGAAATAACCCTGCTAGCCACAGGTAACGCGTGCCTGGGAGCTGAACATCCGGATCCCTGTCATTACCAGTAACGACAATTAAAGAAACATTTGAATTTAGACAAATTAGAAAATCAGGTAATGCCATCAAAAACACAAGCTGATAAAAAATGTCTCACATGCTAAGCCAAACATTTCCCCCAAATATTTTTAATTAAGAATTCATCAGTATAATTATACTTGTAGTAGGAAAAAATATGCTATGTAAATTAATATAGCAAGTTAAGTTTGGCGTGTTTTTTTTTTAAAATATATTTTATTGATTTTTTACAGAGAGGAAGGAAGAGAGATAGAGAGTTAGAAACATCGATGAGAGAGAAACATCGATTAGCTGCCTCTTGCACATCTCCTACTGGGGATGTGCCCGCAACCCAGGTACATGCCCTTGACCGGAATCGAACCCGGGACCTTTCAGTCCGCAGGCCGACGCTCTATCCACTGAGCCAAACCGGTTTCGGCAAGTTTGGCGTGTTTAAGTACAAAAAAACAACTTGAGTAACGTAAGTCCATACTAACTATGACCCGTATTATTAATACTTGTTCTTAGAACATATAGCCCCTTCCTGCTATGTCTCTACGTAGCAAAAAAATAATAAAGGATAAGCAGTCATCACCAGAGCACTCTTAAAAACACCATCACATTTCAAATAACCCAAAACTGAACTTATTTGCCAAAATCTTATATTAAGATAAACATTCAAATTAATATTTTTATTTTTAATTTCATGCATTTGCCCACAAGATAACCCAAAACATATTAATCTAATGTTTAAAAAAATCCTCACCCAAGAATATTTTTTAATTGATTTTCAGCGAGAAGGGGGAGGGAGGGAGAGAGCGAGAGAAACATCCATGTAAGAGAAGCATCAATTGGCTGCCTCTAAGATAATCCACTGGTCCATTGAGTATCAATTGGACGCCCCCCAGTGGGGGATCAAACCCGCAACCTAGGCATGTGCTCTGCCTGGGAATGGAACCCTTTGGACGGGACCATGCTCCACCGGCCGAACCTATCATTGTGTGTCTGATACAGTCTCCTTTTCTTTCAAAGAGACTATCAAAATGATTTTTAAATATGAAGTCAATCACATATTCCACATGACATTTTAAGAAGCGCCGACAATCCTCTAAGGCGCTCCACAAACACTAACAGTCTCAGCTCGTTACTGCGATGGAGCCGGAAGAACTGTCCCTTCAGGACACACGGGAAGCCAGCCGTTCGTGGGTAGCGGGAGGCGATCAAACTGCGGGAGTCTTTCTCTGAAGGAGGATTGACTTTTCCAAGCGGCAGAGAAACCCACGAAAGCAAGAACCTGCACCCAAGACCTGCGTCCACCCGCCCGAAACCCCTCAGCAGGGGAGGAAAATGAAAGTTCACGACAAAACGAGGCTGGACTGAAAGCAAAGCCAAGCCTATGGGCTGGAAGGAATCGGGGCGGGGCGGGGGTCCCCCCGGAGCCTGGCTGGACCTGAATGACCCCCCGAAAACCGAGCCCCGGGACTCACAGAGCACGGCCACCGCCCCGGACTCGAACAGGAGACACTCCTCCTTGTGCCTGGTCTCCACCATGAGGCTGAAGGGCGGGGGGTCCAGCTTGTGGTAGACCCGGAACCCCTTGCTGAACGCCATCCTGTCCGCAGAGGCAGCCTGTGGGAGCGAGCAGAGCAGATGCGGCGCCGGCTCCTAGCAGCCGGTCCCCCGC